GACAACCCAGTCTTTATATATAAGCATCTACAAATACACATTTACTTCTGTTTGCACTGTGATAAAAGATTAAATAACTACAGATATAGTTTTGTAGAATTATTAAACTACAGTTAAAACTCAAGACTGCAGTTTCAGACTTCCAGAGACTGTATGTCAGTCTTTCTCCCTAAGTTAAGGTTATGCTCCATGGCCTGCTTGTCTGATTTTTTTCATTATCAGCCACGCTACTCATTCCTGACTTTGCAATACACCAATTTAAATTCTTAATTCACACCTCCAGACTGCTTTCTAAACATGCCATGACCTAAACTGCTGCCCAGCTAAATCTGAGGCCAGGATGTCTGCCCTAAATCTAAAGAGTAGAAGAGCTGAGTGTTGCCATGTAGAGTATCACAACACAAAGTGCTGGGACCCAAAACAATATAAATGGATTTTATCACCTCGAGCTTCATAACTAAGCTCCCTACATAACAATTTTAATTCTGGACTTTGCTTGGCAGGGTGAAAAATAACTGTGCGCACACATCATTCTCAAGGTATGGTTTTATCTTGATCCTAGCTTTTAGGAGAGAAAAAGAACAATTCCATTGTAGATGACAAGCATTATGCAGACATCAGCTTTTATTACCTAAAACCTGTAGTTTTGTAAATATAGAGAAAAACTATTTTGTCTGCATAAGATTAATTACTACAAATTTAAGAGAAAAATTCACCTGATAGCAAAGTTTTGATATCCAATCAAGTTTGGAAAATTTGATTCACGTGTCCTACAGAAACAACTTTCAACTCCAAGAATTTGCTTTTTATAATATGATGCCTTACTAATATTCAACTTTAGCCATTACAACACTCATGGAGGTACATATAAGAACACTTATTTTTAAAACACTGTATACAGACTTCATTTGCATTAGCTTCATGAGCTTTCTGCAGCATAGCTCCTTGAGGTAGCTGCAAACAGAATACTTAAAAAAAAAAGAGAATAGAAAGAAAACTGAATTTGTAGCATTAATTCAATATCATTAGCAGATTAGGACTGTAAAAGCAGAACAACATAATTTAAGAAACACCGGTGCTGAAAAAAACCCTAGAAATCTGTAGGACTCCCATTCAACAGCTTCTGTTTCATACTATTGTGTACTGCTGATCAACAAGGATAATTTTTTCACATTAAACACAAGCTATCTCCCTTAAAACTTGCCCTTATCCATGGTAGTTGATGATTATGTGCTGCCATCTAGCAAATGTTTCCAGAAAAGTTTAACTTTGGGAGCTATTCTGTGGCAAGACACCTGAAATTTCTTAGAAAGCTTTTTAAAATAGGAAACATATTCAAGACAGCAACAGGTTTTTAAAATTACTCCTTCAGCATGCATGCTTGTAAGAGTAACCAAACTGGAGAATATCATTAGACTTGATACAGACAAACCCTTCAAAAGTAAGGCCATACCCAGTGAATATGGAATGGCAAAACTGAAATTTTCATTCTATGACTTATGCTTTCCTTTGTTTCAGTGAATGCAATAAGCTGAAAATGGTAAGAAATACTGCATTTTCTTCTTTCCCAAAAACTCTAGTCTTCACTGCTTCACTTTGTTCCAATTTTGTGGTTTTAATTTCCTTTGCACCCATTCTCCCTCCTTCACCCACCCAATTCATCCAGTAATCAAAAAGCAGCAATCCCATACAGTAATACAATGCCTGCATTACAAAAATATTGTTTCTTAACCCTTTTCAATCTCAATTTTTCAGTCATGCAGTCACACTGAAACTGTACCATGCTATTTACCAGCAGCAAGATAGCTTCCTCCAATTGCTGGACCTTGCTGACTGAGCTCTGCCAAGACCTTACTTTTTTGTTATTATCTAGGTATATATTCGATTAGAGTAAACAAAAGAAATAATTTATACACTTTTGGCACAAGTCCTGCGTGTTAACACGGAAATAGTGTGATATTTTGAAGTACTTACACTGCTATAAACAACTTTTCATGAAAAGAAACATTAATGAAATGTCTAAACTAATTATTTGTGAATATGATTGGTTTCTTATTATTTTCTGTCTTATTTCACCTCATCACAATAATTGCAATTTCCTCTTTTCACCCTGGGTCCTTAACATTGTCCTTAAATCCCTCATTCATCCAGTCTCCTAAAGAGTACAACATTCTCATTCTTTGCTCCCCATAGATCAGAACAGCTGGGAGACTATTGCTCCATGGAGGTATTATTCTTCAAGCAAATCGTAATTAAAAAAAACCCGAAGCCCAACAACTTTTAAAGTCTCCATTCCTTTCCAATCTCTCTGAAATTAACCAAAGAGTTCAAAAGCTCTCAGAAGGGACAAAGGCATCACAGTCCACTATTTGTCCAATTTCCCCAGAGCATTTTCTAAATCATCACCATTAAATCATGATGCAATAAAATGTCCTCTAGTTTCAAAGCACACATACACTTGATGTAGAAGACACGGCAGAACAAGTAAGAATTCTGACACTTATAACTATTTCTCAGCAACTAATATCAAACAAAAAACAGTAAGTAATTAAAATAGAGGTCAATTAACATTAAGATAAGTGCCAGTTTATCTCACTGGGAAACATTGGTTTTAAGAATATCTGTTCTTCCTGTAAACAAAAGGTGAACTGGTAAAAAAAAAAATTAAATCTGTCATCCTAGAATTCCTTAAGATTCCACCATTTAGCAGGACATGGTATTTTACGTTAATTAAAAGCAGAAGTCTTTCTTTGCTAGAATTAAAGCCTGAAATATATCACAGAATTTCACAGAATGGTTTGGGTTAAAAAGGAGCTTAAAGGCCACCTGGTTCCAACCTTGCTGCAATGGGAAGAGTCATCTTCCACTGGACCAGGTTGCTTGGAGTGCATCCAGCCTGGCCTTAAACACCTCCAGAGACAGGGCATCCACATATGCACAGCCCAACACACACCATAGAATTCCTTCCTAATATCCACCCCAAATCTACTCTCTTTCAATTTAAAGCCATCCCCTCTTATAGAATCTCTACATGCCTTTGAGAAAAGTCTCTCTCCAGCTTTCTTGTAGACTCCCTTCAGATAGTGGATTCCTGTAAATCCAGCAAAGACAAACAAGTTATCAGCTGTATAAGGGTGACAAGGTTGTCTCTGCAACAAATACCATCATACCTACTGTATATGGCCCAATGGGAAAAACCCACATGATCCCCACAGTATTGTCTGACTGTGGAAAGCTGAAGGTGCACAGAATAGAGCTGCTCCACAATTTGCTTTCCTTTAGCAAAATGGAAGAATAGGCAAGAAATATTATTTAATAGATTGCATTTTCAAAAGTTACCCATTTAAACATGGTCCTAATAAAATTCCTCCATTTCATCTTTATTAGAGGAAGATATGATTTTTACTCTTAAAATGTACTCTTACAAGGGCACCTCTGTAACAAATACACAGAGGGTATCTGTTATAGAGATATGAAATATCCAGGTATTGGTAAATAATTAATTTTACATTTTATAACTAAACACCACAGTCATTAATACAGCTCTGACACTTACAAAAGAACATATGCATAGAAACGGAAAACACCTTTTACTCTACTCATGCTAGGTCTCATCCTACTCTAAGCCAGACTGATCTTCTGTCCCTCTAGAAGAGATGGCATCCAGGATTTCAGTCTTTGTCCTACCCTTCATCTCAGATAGAGCTATTATTACAGAGTGTCCATTTTTTGTAGAAACTAGTAAAAGCTACTTTCTCCAGAACTTTCAGTTTCCTCTCAGGATAAAGTTGTTATGTAGATGAAATGATATTCCTGAAATCTTCCAATGTTTTGTGCAGAAACTTATTGTACTCTTTTTATGAGGAGCTCCTCAAGTCAAAGAATGCTCCTGTTTTCATCCTTGTTATTAGCATTTTTGCAATGAAAGACTATGAAATATCACTCAAATGTGAATCAACCACAAGGAGTCCACACTACCACAATGACTGAAATACGCTCTTCTCTCCTTGGTGATTTACAGGTATGTTTCAATGTCAAATCACTCATTTCTGACCTTACACTTGTTAACAGCGTGAACCAAAAACTACTGAGTAAGTATCTTGATTTTATGCACTATCAAACACTTTTCCTGATGAAGAGGTTACACTTCACTAAATTCTTGAAATCAACTTGCAAATTAACCCCTCTCCAAGTTATCCTACACCTAAAAAAAAGTAATTTTTGTTCTGCTCATGGCATCAAGCTGTTAGTTATGTAGGAATTCTGGATGTGCACAGTGCTAAGTGCAGGTGTTCATATCAAACATGCTCAGAACTGCCAGCTATTCTAAACTGCAACACCTAAAATGAGGTTACTTTAGTTGTGTCAGGCTTACTGTGCATAATGAATTGCAACTACGTAACCAAAACCCGACACGAGTGAAACACACATAACCGAATTCACACTACAGTGAAGAAGAAGAAAAAAATATACTGAAATAAACATGAAATACCAAACTTCTTAGAGAACAAGAAGAAATTAGCCGTAACCTATTCATTTTTCATTTTCAATCTGTTCATGTGCGAGAAAATAAGGCAATATCTTTGCCATCCAGGAGGCAGGCAGCTGGGGCTTTGGCGGGTCCGGTAGATCACCTGCAAGATTTCAGCGTGAACACAAACACAGCAAGGCAGGCGCGAAGGGCCGGCACTGGGGGTCAGGACGCCGCACCGAGGCACACGTGTCGCAATCGCGCGTAACCCCCCGCAAGCAGTTTAACTTCACCCGACGGATGCTTGTTTCAATCACAGCGGAGCTCCAGCACACGGGACGCGCTCTCCCACGCCGAGGGACGGCGCCGGTCACCCGCGGTCTCCCCTACGGCTCCGGGCCGCCACGCCGGCTGCGGCAGGCTCGGGCCCGAGCCGGCTCGCTCTCAGGCCGATCCGCCGCCGCCACCCCGGCCCTTCCCCGGCCCAAGCCCCCCCGGCCCGCTCCCAGCGGCGCCCCGGGTGTCTCACCTCGTTGTTGAGGTTCAGCACAGGAGCCATGGTGCCACAGAGCCGCGCAGGCCGCTCCGAGCCCCGCACGCCGCCGCACGAACCGAAACCGCGCGCAGGCGCCCAGGGGCTGCGGCCCCGCCCCGGAATCCGCCTTCAACGCGGGTTAAAGAGCTTTGATTGGGGCCTCTCTCCTCCCGGGCCTCACCGGACACGGGGCGGATCCCGAGCCCGGCCTACCCGGGGCGTCTGGGCCGAGCCTAAGGAGGTCGCCCGGCCCCCGGTGAAACCTAAAGCTTCGCGGCGCGGGGCTGTGCTCGGCATCGCCGGCCGGCCGGCTGGTTGGCTGGCTTAATCCGGGCGATGCAGGCTTGTAAATCGTTAAACTGAAGTGGCCTCTGCCCCCACGAGCTTATAGTAGAAATATTTCTAGTTTATAGTAGAAATATTTTGGGGTTTTTGCTTTTCCTGCCTTGTTGCTGCTGAGCGGAAGGCGTTGCCGGAGTAAGCTGTGACCGCTGCCGTAGCTCCAGACTTTGCTCCATGGCCACCGTGACAAAACAGCCTCCGTTTTCAAAGTGCCTCACAATTTTCAGATTGAGTCTTCCGTTAGCGCAGAAGGAAGATTTAGGGCTGTGTAGAAAGGTCCTGAAGCTTTGGTTCTGTGAAATTTTACATACGTAATTAATTTTAAGTAGCCGTGGTGAAGTGTGGCTGAGCATGTGTTTTGGACTGAGTGATGTCTCAGTCTGAAAATTTTGGAAAAGTTTCATCAGAACTTTCCTCATCATTGCCAGTTTCTTGTGCTAGGAGGATTTGTTGATTTAAATTGCTACAAATATTCTTCTATTGAAACTTTTGCAAAGGCCGTGCTTAAATGTAAGCAAAGCTTAGTATGTTTGAGAATGAATAATTTTTTTTGGTTTTGTTGTTATTGGTTTTTACGAAACAAAAACAAAAAATCAAACTAACAAAAAAAACCAAAAGCAAACAACCCCAAGCAAAGAGAAAACCCTCCAAAATCGTTTCAGGAAATTTACCAGCAATTAGCTGGCCCCTGGATGGCACTGTTGTGCCTAGAATTCTGCTTTAAAGTCTGAATGTTTCAACAAATACAACTGTTGTCAATTGTCTCTGTAATACATTTTATCTGCAGGACCTAGCATTTGGATCTTGTTATATTTTAATATTTGATTTCTAACTGATGCTTAGGCAGTTCACTCTCCTGCGAGTGAACTGCAACAAAATCCCACTTGACTGTGCTTTTCATCAAGCCTTGCATGCAAGTGAGGTTAGCCCAAGCTAGTCCTTTCAAATGTTACTTTTGAGTTCCATTTGGGATGTTTCTGAAGGTGGTGCTGGATGTTTAGTAGCAGTCTAGATGTCATCTGGATCAGTATAGACCCAACTGAAAATACTTTGAGTTCATCCCTTCATCTCATAGTAAGGGAATTTTGTTCCAACAGGAGCTGAATTTAATTTAAAGTGTATGTTTGCTGAGAGTACTTTGAGTCTCGCTGCAATGAGAGGTGTTCACCACAGCTGGTGCTTCATAAAAGTTCAGACTTGAACAGTTATATCCAGTTTAGCAAAAGTCAGCCAACCATCAGAGAATGAACTTTTCTTTGTCGTACCACCAATGTCAGGCAGCTACCTGTGACCTGTGTGCACAGTAATCTGTGCGAGGAGGAGCTGAATTTGACTGTATAGATTAGTACTAGATGTGATGCACACCATACTGTCAATATATGTTTAAGAATTACTGGATACAATCTCACATCTAGGTTGGTTTTGTTTGCAGTGAGTGTAAAATTGGATGCAAAAAATCCAGAAGGAAAAATCTTCCAAGGAAAATAAAGAGCTCCTTCCTTTTGTCTTGGTATTTCATGCAAAACTAATCCCTACATATGCCACTCTGAGGTTCCATTGTGCATCTTAGCAAAGAGGAAGACAGAAGCAGGAACAGGGAGCCAGCTGGTTCTGTGAATCCAACCAGTGCCAGCCTGGCCTCACATCAATTAGAGTTGTTCCATCTGTGTAGCCTATTGGGTCATAATTTCAATTTTCCTTTCCTCTGAACACTGAAATAACTTGCTTTGAAAGTTTCTGGTAGGCCCCAATGACACACTTCTGGCCTTTCTTCATCCAACAATTTTGTTTTCTTCTCACTCAGTTAATCATTCCTTAAAATAAGTGCTTTATTTCTTTCTGCCTTTTTAAACCTCAGTGGTCGTCCAGAGTTAAGAATCTTTGTGCCTCGTAGCTTCCTTGTCGGCCCTTTTGTCATATTATTTTTTGACTTAAATGCATTCTAAGTCAAGATTTTCTTGTCAGCTTGTCACAGTCAGATGCTTTGAGGCATTGCCCCATATAACACTTTTTGTACTTTGATGCTTTGTTCTGACATTTCTTCTGTGGTGTCAGTATTTCACTCCAATATTTTGGCACGTATTCACAGTGTTGGAATGCAATTTTCTGAACTATTTTCTCTCCTTTGTGAACAACTGTCTGTGTTTGCACATTGCAGGGCAGCATATATTTATGGGCTACAAAGATGATGGAGGGCCTAGAGGGGGAAGCCATATAGGGAGCAGCTGAGGTGACTTGGTGTGTTCAGGCTGGAGAAGGGGACACTGAGGGCAGACCTCACTGCAGGTGCAGCTACCTTGTGAGAGGAAGAGGAGGGGCAGGCGCTGATCTCTGCTCTGTGGTGACAGTGACAAGACCCGAGGGAATGGCCTGAAGTTGTGTCACGGGAGGTTTAGGTTGGATGTTAGAAAAGGGGTTTTCACCAAGAAGATGGCCAAACAGGCTCCCTAGGAAAGTGGTCACAGCACCAGCCTGAGAGAAGCTCAAGAAGTGTTTGGACAATGCTCTAAAATATGTGGGGTGATTTTTGGGGTGGCCTGTGCAAGGCCAAGAGTCGGACTTGAGTGATCCTGCTGAGTCCCTTCCAACTCAGGGTATTCTACAATTCTGTGTTTCTATTTGTAGGATGTAAGATGTTGCAGAACAACACAGGGGAGATGAAATGGAAAACTTTAAAGAAAGAGGGGGTTATAGCTGGGTCATATTTCTCTCCCTTTATCTTGGCACTCTGCAGGTTCATGTGATGTGGTAGCAGCTGTGTAGACCATCTTGTAGCTACAACTGGCCTTGATCCCAGAAGCCATGCATAAAAGTTATATTTTTGGAACACTTACTGAAATACATTATTATTGCAGACACTTGCACTTGTATGCTCAGTACAGATGTAGTGAAATATGTGTGAAGTTTGTTTTGTGTGATGACAATAAGTAAATTTTAGAAATTTCAATTAATCTTTTATGTTTTGTGAATTGAACTTAAACTTCAAGAAGTTTCATAGAAAGAAGTGCCAGTAATGTTAACTAGGCACTGAGGACAACAAAAACAGAAGGTTTTCTGCAACTTGGTGCTTCCTAAAGCTTTTGCTTTGACTTTTGCCAGAGGAGTTTATTTTTACTGATACTAAGGCATGTGTTCTGGGCTTGCTCCCTTTCTTTTCGTCATGACAATTTAAAGATGTGGACACTCATTAAAATGAGTTGCCTCCCCCTAATTTCAACCAATCCCTTTCCACCAATAAGGAACAGATATTAGTAGATATAAGTTAAAAAATAGCGATTACTAAGAGGCAAAACATCAACAGCAAAAAAACTGCAAACCAACTAGTAAATAATCACTTAACACAAAATTGCTATATCTCAGGAGCCCCATGGGAACAAGGAGAATTCCAAAATGTTGGGGTACTGCCCCCTCCCAAGATAGCAGCCCCTGCTGCTGACTGTGTGTAGGGGAAATGATGGGAAAATGATGGCAGCCTCTTCCCCAAGAGAGGGATTCTTATTTACATAGGAAAATTATTGAAAAAATATACAGTAAAAAGTACCTTTGTCCTCTATAAACAGGTTCTATGAAATTAGTTGTTTTGACTTCTAAGATAGAATAGAAAAATTTGTTCTTAATATTACAGGTGTTTTCCTTGTTATTTTCTTCACTTTTGAGTTTTCATACACACAGAAGACAAGTCTTCATGTGTTACTGTCCTTATGTACCCATTAGAACACACACTTTAGTGAAACTCATTTACATCATAAATTATCTATTTATGATCATTTGTTACTAAGAAAGTAGACCTCTGTTACTAAGAAAGCAGAATTAACATTGAAATTCCTTCCTGCTTAGAATATACTCAACTTCAGCAACACTGAGAATTTAAATTTTAAAAAAAAAATCTGAATTCAACTATTATTTTAAGTGTATGAAAACAGAGCTTAAAAAGAAAATTTTGTGATGAACTTCCGCCTGGGATATTAAGTGCGTAAAGCACATCATTTTCTTCTACAATCAATCATAAATGTATTATTTAATAATTCTTATCTTTGCTATCTTTTTAAAGAAGCAGTTCCAGTCGTTCAGCTGGCTATTTCAGTTGTTGGTTGTGTGAGGCCAAAATTTTCTCTTATTACACACAGATAAAGTGTTAAGTAAAAACTAGGATCCTAATACCTGCTAGATTCCCTAAGTATTATTGCAAATTAAAAAAAAAAAATCCCATGAAGGTGTCATGGATAACTCAAAACGTTTCATATCCAGAAATTGCTACAACCTGGTTGGTGGGTTTGGAGTAGAAAAAAACAACTCCATGTTTCAGTCCAGAGGTAAGTGCTGAATTTATGATAGCAGAAAAGACTACTCAAAAGCAAGATTCAGAAAAAGAGAAAAGGAGAAAAAGACAAAAGACCAAGCTGTCTCTGATCCCTTGTAGGAGGAACACTTGAAAATAAACTGCAGAAGCACTCTGAAGAGATCCCATGAGCGAAAGATGGATGGTAGGTCTTTGTTGTGGTGCTCCAACAAGAGATGTACTGGGAATGAAGTGGGTCTGACATTCACAGAGAGAGGTTGTTTGAATTCACAGTAAAAGATGCACAGGGAGTGCACATCTGTGGTGTCTACAGTTAGAGCTGCAGGATCAGTCCTTGTACCAAGTCCCTGATAAGGAATTTGGAAATGCGTGATGGAGCTTAGAAATGGATGGGGAAGGGGTATGTGTGATAGTACTGGAGTGACTAATGGGATTAATGGGACTGTCTGCTGCCTGTATGGCAAAGAAAAAGCTGCAGAGA